ATTAGCTATCCATTCTCGATGCGCAATGCCTTCCCAAAGGAATTGTTAGGCGAATTATTTGTACCACGTGAACGACAGTGTAGATTAATCAGATTTACGCAATATTTGCCTTGCCTTTGAACTACTACTTTAAGGTGGCTAAAAATTTATGCGCTTATTAAATAAGAGCGTTCTTACCATGAGAGACAAATGGAGTTATTTGGAGGGGAAAACTGTCGTAAACTATTACTAAGGGAGTGAGGTCATGCATTAAATTAGTTAATTAACGCCACTAGCTATCGCACTGACCAAAATGTTGGCTTTGCTAGCAATTACCATCTGTGAGATTTAGTGTAAAACATGGAGGCATGCTCACTCGGTGCCGTATTCTATCAAGCTTTAGCAGGACCAGCAAATTTTTTCCCTTATTCACATGAGACTAGTCCCTCTTCAAAGAAGAGTATGTGGAATATGACGAATGTAAAGGAGGCAATCTTGTCAGTTCTGTAAGTTTCCAAGACTACAACTGACAAATGAGCAAAGCGCTTGGAATTACACATCATTCAGATCCCTTAGAATCCAAATAACCCGAAGAAATTGGTACCTTTGATTCGAGGCTCTTTTTAATGCCCACTTTACAGCAAAGAAACTTAAATTAGTCTAAATTTAACAGTAATTTTTAGATTCCATATACATGCTTTACGAGTTCCATTTAAGCAGACCATGTTTCCAACCATGCTTGTATGCCTTTCGCATTAAGAGGCAATGGGAATGCCATCCGGGACCGTTAATGGTAGGTAAAATTAATGGGTGGCAAATTGTATTTTACCACTAAAGTTATGTGTCAGCAACCGATATGACAGTATTTACCCCCCTGGCACCTTTGAATAAGGTGGAACATATTCTTCTGTTGACGTGCCTAAGGAAGACAAGGAATGGTATGGTTCTTTCTTTGGGGATGATGAACTATTCTTTACAATTTTTCGATTTGTGATTAAATGCTTCATTACGATCATGCCTTAAAACCAAATATTTTTATTAAGATTTGGTCAAATTTTGCGTTTATAAACTCAATTCTCGATGCAAGATTGTTCGTATCTCATACATTATTATTTCACAGAAGAACTGATGCAATTGAGCTGATTTATGTGTAAACTTTGTGGTTCGATTTGTCAGTAGGATCATAAACCTAGTGTTCCACTTTCTGCATTCAATCATTTATTCCTATCAGTTTGCCTCTAATTGCCTAGACATATAATATCTGAGGCCTTCCTACTTCAGTTAACATTGTAAAACTTCCTTCCCTGAACAAATATTCCTTATTAGTGATTCTTTATCATATAATTATTATTTCAGAGATCAAAATTGTGCCCCATTTTGATGGATGCTGCACCAGTATCAGAATGGAACACAAAGGTGGAGTGGAAAGCCAAATCTATGGGGTCTCAACTACTGGCTGATAAATAAGCCAATGTCAGGCAGGAACCATTGCTTGTCTGGGAACCTGACCCCAGTGAAGCAAAATGGGATTTCAGGCTTTGAGAGGGAAGTTGTTATTCTCTGCCTCAAGATATATTTGGTGGGAATTCGCCCAACTAAATTTTTCTTTAAAATGTACACATAGGTAATGAATAACAAAAAAAATTGCCCCGAAATTTAATCATACCTTATCATTGGCGCGCAAAAATACCTTGCAATTGGCAGTGATTTATTTTCACTCACCAAATAGGACTTATGGCAAGAGTGGGCCTTAAAGTCAAACACTGCATTAAATTGGAAACACTAAAAGTTACCTGATTTTCCTCGCTTATTCAGTTCTCTACGTTATGCCATTTGCCGAAGCACTGCAATGACATAAATTGTTGCCCCTCTTTAATGCATTGAGCCAACTGAAGAAGCGAAAATTATGGGAATTTAAGTGAGGATTTTAAATTGACGCTTCACAATGATCTGCAGTCTTCTAGTTCACTTATTATTGATGCAATTACATGATTTTCCGTTGCGTACTTTCTTTGAGAATGAAGTGATTTTTTCCCTTTAAAACATCTGTTAAGACATTTTGGATAAATTTTGCCCGGAGCTCTTACGAAATTAGTGAGCAATATTTATTCTGCTGGTGGGGCTTTGGTCACTTACTGCAAGGAGGTAATGAAGAGTTATCCGCTGCAGACAGTGCTCAACAGTGATCGAATTGTCTTTTTAAAGTCCCACTAATGCTGTCAGGTACAACCATTCAATACACCTCGTACAACATTTCTTATGGGTATGTAAAAGCGTGAAGCCCTTTTGGAAAGGCTACACAGATATCTACATATAAGACCAGCTAAGTGGCATATTTTCTCTAGCACGGAATTTTATCAAACCAATTATCCATATTTTCCTGTTATTAATGAACACCCCCAATTGAGTCGCGCAATGCCAATAAAATTTCGTCTACAGTTTGTTATATTTTCCTTAAGTTATTGGGCATATCGGTGGTCTTTTTAAAGGCGGCAGTTTGTCGGGTGCATAAGTGGGTCTCAACACTACCGACTAAATAATGCGGGAGGACTCATCAATTCATCCGGCGATAACGACGATGGTCTTGCTATAGACAGCGCTCTCGAGTGGAATGTAGTAATCGGCTGTCTGGGGTTACCTCACCTTCTTAAATGCATAAAGGTACTTATAGCTTTCCCAGACTATTTCACTTTATACGCTTCCCTCTCTCCACCACCCTCCAAATTATTTCGTCTGACTATCACTCTATCCCCTTTGTGCTTAACTTATACACCCCGCTTCACAAAAAAGGAGTCAAATGTCCATCCGGACATCCAGTGATTTGCTGAAGTCTCTGACGCCATTTGAGGCAGATCACTTTACTCCCTTAATTGACCAAGATGAGCAATGAATTAAAGTAGGAATTAAATATGGATGCTTATAGTCTTTTTAATCCACTTTAAGTGAAATTTAGGTTGTTGCCTTTACGGCTCGCTAAACACATTAGAATTGCAAAACGTGGCTCCTATTTTGCCAAACAACATTAGCTATAGGAAGTTGTGTGAGCAGAAGATTTGCATAAAATAAATATGGGAATGATGGTGAAGCTAAGATGCATCTATGAATGAAGTTTTGAGACCCATAATCCAGCATGCCTGCCAAATGAGACTTGATCAATCAAGTAAATATTTAATAAGTAAGTCCGCAAAGCATACCTGTTAAGTACCAACAATAGATGCGTTAATCCCGAATGCTCCGTCAAAATCACGAGGCTGGTCCCAGTTAATCTCGAATGAATTGAGAGATAACTCTCTATTTAACGAACGTCTCGGCTGGTACCTCACAACGCATCATGAGCTTTACGAATTTCCATCTTTATTATTTGATGATTAATGGAATAAAACCAGGTTCCCACGGTTTCTGTGGAAGTTTACTCTCGAGTTTAGGTTTGCTTTTAAGGGTTTAGGTCCATCTTCACTTGGAACCATACAACAGCAAAGTCATTACACCATTCCCATATAACATGTAAAAATGTGAATAAGTACGCCCACTTTTCCTACCTCGTGAATAAACTACCCAACCAACCATTACTAACTACATAAAAAAGCATTTAAGCAGTATCATTTGGACAAAACTAAGGATTTCCGGACTCACCCTTGGTCGGATTCAATTTAAATCACTCAGTTGTAAGACGTAATTCACATTCCTTACAAATTTGGCCATGTTAAACCGGCAGGATTTAACTTTAAGGCAAACCAACTTTAACTGCTACTTCACTTGGCCTAAACCCATAACGGGCATCCCCGACTTTATCCTGCGTTAATAAGGTCGAGCCCAAATCTTCATTGGAGGTTCCATCAACAATCGAAGAAATCACGCTCACTTAAAGCAGAGTTAGTATAAGGCAAGAATTCGGCAAGGCGGCACAAACCTGCTATTCTTTGGTGGGGTAAAGCATTCCCACTACTGTAACCGTCACTTCTATGGCTATTCGGTTTAGCATAGACAATTTGGCCTCACTGGCTCAAACGTACAATAGCAGCGAACTACGGAAATAGGCAGAAAATTGACTAAGTAAGGAACAGTGTTTGCTCAAATTGCTCTTTTTTGCATCATCTGGCTAGCCAGGTGGACAATCGCCCCCAAAGGAAAGCAGCAGTAATAGCAAAATCGGTGGATCCAGGGCTGGTCCTGAATTCGGAGGATGAGTAATGAAGACAACGTTAACATCAGTAAAGCAAACGTCAGTTGGACCAAACGACGAACAGAACAGTAAGAATCTCCCCATCCAAGGCTCTCGCACCTCGTGCGTCGCCGATAGCGACGGTGGCGGAGGCAGTAGGGAGTACTCATATAGTGATGGCATTATCGATGTAAAGGGAAGCTTGTATTCAAACATAGATGGCTAGCACATGAGTTTTCAGGAGGCTTACATCCCAGCCATAGCCGTATCTTACCTGTCTAGCCATGTGTGAAACATCCATAGCCCAGGGCAACTCGATTGCTTGCTAGGGTCTTCTCATGTCTATCACGTTCAACCAGCACACATGGTATGAAGAGGAGACACGCCAAGGTGACAATGCGTCAAACAAGAGTATCGCGTATCAAAAGAGCGGAACGGTAACTTGCAGTTAGAGTTAATTTAAATAGCCGATTTTTCGTATCTGAACCATTTAGTATTCCGAAATTATGGAGAAAATTATGCAACAGTTAAGAAAATACTAAAGGCTATCAACCATTCACTGCTAACCATCTACGAAATGTACCCATTATTTGTGGTTGCATGCAAATGAGGCATTTCTGATGTAGTCTACTGGACGATCAACCTTTTACTACGTTTTAGATCCAGTCTTTTATTAGTCATTCCGTTGCAGATTAATTTGTGTCAAGCCACGGTCAGCCAATCTGAAGTCATTAGAAGTCAGTGTGTGTTGTGCTAGCACCAGTTAACTGAAAACAGCTTGACATGAGTGCGAGCAAGCGTGGCTAGAGGTAAGGACAATGTCATTTGAATTTGGCGGCGCAGGCACAAGGTGAGCTAGATGTCGATACCGTATTCGTGGAAGATCGCGACCAACTCTCCCACAGCCTTTCTCCGCCTCCTTATAAGGTACCACAAATGTGTTAGGTTTGAGTCTAGGTCAGATGGAAGGGCACAATCTACCGGTACATCCTCTTCGACTTCTGCGTTTTCCTCCTCATCTATGGCATAACTTCACTCACCTACCGGTATCTTATGTCCGAGGGATCCAGAAGGTGGAGCCATTATTAAGTCAATTCAGATTGCGTAAAATGTGAAGACTTGAAGTATCCGCGTCAATTGCCTCCATGAAACTTTCAATAAGTACTCGTATCTTATTTTCGTCATAAACCAATGTTACTGACCAGGATTTCAATTTTTTCTCAAAAATAAATGGAATAATTTAGCCACGCAAGTGAAAAATGATGGGCCGCATCCGTAAACCTTTGTGCTGCTGCCATCAGCCAAAGGCAAAGGATCAATGAGGAGCCTTTTACTAGGACTATATGTTCAGTAAATTTAAACATGGTGAAGAGGCTCAATTTTCTACAGCGGTGTTAGGTGTACTTTCAAAAAATTTTATTCCAGTTTCGATATTAGGTCTTTGGCTTCCATTTTTCTAGTCTCAGCGCACAGACTCAAAAGGGTTGGAGAACATTCGATTTAATTATGGCTTCAACTTTAAACCAAACACAAAATGTTCCTAACAGTTTGTCGTACAGCCTGACTTCTTCAAGGCAATAAGTTGAGAATTATTATTAAAGACAGCTGAAGGGTAGACAGTAAAAAGATAAATTTTTCGTAAATTCTACAGTAACTCAGAGTCTTTAAATGTATTTGAGCATTAATTATAGGTAAAAATCTATTTGTTAAATTCGTTTTGAGTTATCGTGCCTTCATCCATAAATATCAACGAATGATAACAAAACTTGCACAGCCATTTTCTAATCACCTCAAACGGAGTTTATAGATGTAGTAAAAGTCTAGGCGTTATCATAGGTTTTACTTTCATTCATTGCCAAAAAATATATCTCCAATTTTTTATTTTCCTTTGCCCTATCATTACAATGAAGGTCCATTTATAGCACATTTTAAATAAACAATTGCTTAATTGGAATTATGATGCCACGACTACTTAATTTAATCTATTTCACGCGAGTGATACGAAGAAAATTACCCTTTCAAGGATTGACTCTGGGCTCCATCCTACCAACGTTCGAAGCGAACGTACACATCCTACGTTAGCAACAGCTAGTAATTAAATGTAAACAATTTTTTCTGGTTTCTAATTTGTAGTGGTTTTTTAAGAATGTTTTCACCCATTCCTCCACTTAAGGAGACGATGCGACATTCGGTCTGACTTTTTGGTGCCTTAGCGCCGCTGTTTTCCGTTCAAAGTGAAACCCGTCGCTTACCTCCTATGCGCATTGGCTCAAAGGCTGAAGTATTTGCACATTGAGAAGAATCTCAAAAGAATAGGCATACTTCTGGAAAAACATATGTTTTGCATCAAATCCACCCAAGAACCGTAATTTGATTCTAAAAGTACTCAAGATTTTACGACAATTACTTTTTTGTGAAAATGGCAGGTTTTAGTTTATCTAAAAGTAGCTGAATATTGCGCAGTAAATAAAATGCATGATCCATTCTAAAATACTACTCTCTTTTCCTGTCTTGTGAAAATTTTTTGCTTATCATGATGAATTGACAATGCAGTACCTGTTGCCTAAAACGATCTTTCGGGTCATTTTTACTCTATTCCAGGAAACAAGAGAATTGCGGCGCGTTAATACAATTTTATAAGGGCATTATTTCATAAAATATTTAGCCACTGATTTGCCATATACATATATGTAATACGAACAGGCTCCCAATTCTATGAGAGATTGGGAGCGCCGCATTCACCCAATTTCGAAAACGTCCCACCAATAAAATTTTCCATAAAATGTATAAAAATACAAAATGGGGTCAGTAGCCTGTGCCACTGTTTAATGGAGTTATTTATTCAGATTTGAACAAGTGATTTTTTACAAATTCATTGATTCCCGGATTTTTTCTTTGCTTGAGCTGTGACATTTGAATTACCTTGGAAGTCCTTACAAGACACTAAAAGCTTGCAAGCAGCTTTAGCACCGAAATACTGTAGGCCTGGGGGATTAGTTGCATTCCATCTTGGTAAAGTGGCTGGCTAAGGCCTGATGACCGACAAGCGTTACCTTGGTCGTACATGCAAGCATATTGTAAGGGGGAATATTGTCTTCCTTTGTATGCGTTCTCACTTGCATGGTAATTGGGTGGATCAGAATCTTCGAGCACTACTGCCTCTACTGCGCTCGCAATGGTCGGCTGATCCCCGTAGGTCTGGTGTTGGGTTTCTACGTGGATGTGGTGGTTAAGCGTTGGTGGGAGCAGCTCTGCCTTATCCCCTGGCCCGACGAGATGACCATGCTATTGAGCGCTTATGTTCTCGACGACTCTGAGATGGCACGGCAGAAGATGAAAACTCTGCTGCGTTACATCAACCTCTCCTACATCCTCACCTTCCGCCTAATCTCTTCTCGCGTTCAAAAGAGGTATCCTGTCGATCAGAGTCTCCTGGCTGATGGTAATTTCATTTAGCTTCTTTCAACTCTATGAAGGTGCTTTATCGAAGATGGATGATTTGAATTAAATTCACTGTCTAAAGTAGATACGATTTATCCCAATGATCACCGCCGGGAATACAACTGTAAAATATTTAGAGAAAATCAGTAGAGGAATATTTTAGCGATGACAGGTGTACCTGTCACGTGCTTCCTCCCCAAATTATATTGGCTTTACTCTAAAACAATCAGCATCCCATTACCTAAGGAAACAATTCAGCTAGTCGCATCCATATTTCCTAGAGTTTTTAATGATCCAAGGATAATTTTTCAGTCACATGCCTAGATTTTTCCGTCGAATTGCACTAGAGCGTGCCTCATGGCAGTTGAAATGCATCGGTACAGTAGGTCATTTAAAATGTACCCATGCAGTAAGCGTATTTCTTTAATTTGGATCCGCAGTCTTTTTCTACAAAGTAAAGAAGAGTACTAGACTCATTAGGAAGATTTACAACCGCAAATTACGGTGAAGAGCAAGCGGTATTTGCTGACAATACCTTGCCAAAAGCAGAAGCGATAAAAATTCTGATGTAAATTCGTACTCCTTGGAGTTCCTTGAAGTAGAGTCAGTTCAACCAATTACTATGATTTTAACATTACCATACCTTATGAACGGGTTTTAAAGTGTCTTAAAGCAGTTTAAATGGTTTTAATTGACCTACTCTGATTGGGGTGGAGGCAAGTTTTCAGTTTTCTTAAGATATCGCCTTATACTTCAGTGCATGAAGGTTACATACTTTACCTAATAGATTCTTACGAATTTCATAATTAAATTAGGTAATATTGCCTTGGATTTCACAACCGAAAATGGAGTAAAATACCACAGAAAGTTGTTAGGGCTAGATTTGTTTTGCTATTTTGCTTAGCGATTTGTTCCATAAAGGCAGTCTTAGTAACTACAGAGAAGGTCGTTTTACAACAAGTACCCTTTAAGTTCTGTAAAAATTTCTTACTAAAAGAGCATGAAGACTAAATTCAGACTTTGAAATTCACAAAATACTAGAGGAAATAATTAAACGAGACGAATTTTGTGTCGCTAATGTGAAACGATACTTTCCATAGGCCCCACATGGCATTTCAAAAACTACCCGGACAAATAAGGGTGAATAGTATAGTTAACTTCTCATCACCGTAAGGAGACTGTTCATAACGCAAAATTTTGCACCATTTAATGGCGACATGGAATTTCGCTTTTTAGCTCCGGAAATGGTGGGGAAAATGGGATAGTACGTTAACCGGAATTGTTACAGCCTTAAAGCCAATTAAACTGCTAATAAATCAAAAAAGAAAATTTTAATTTGAATTTAAAAAATATGGACACAAATTTTTGCACCATTGTGCAGCACTTTTTACTAAATTTTTCGCTGGTTGGCTCACATCTTTAATAGAACGCTACCATAAAATTAAACTCACCAAAAACCATAAGAGACGTTGAACGTGTCTCCAAGATGAGAAAGACCCCCTGCAAATACTTGAGATGGTATAAAAATGGTGAATAAATGATGATGAATTCTTTTATGGTCAGATTAAAATCGCTTTTCTCTAATCGTCTATCAACAGGTATAGTCACGCCGGCTGAGTTGAAACAGCTGTACAATTCAACACCAAATAGTAGAGGTCCCTGGTACGCCACGCCAATCTTTTGGGCGTGCCAAGTGATCCTCGAGCTGCGAGCCACCGGCCTCATCCTCAGCGACAGGGGGGAAGAGCTCCTGTTCAAGAAGATTCAAGCCTTACGCAGCAAACTTGCTCAGCTTCTCATCTACGACATGGTCAACATACCGCTTGGCTTCACTCAAGTACGACGCCCATGAATACTCCATCTCTTCACCGGTGAAAGAGGTTTGCACTCAGTGGGTTAGA